AAAATAATAAAGTCAGATTCATGAAACTTGGCAGTTGTGTGTCCAATTATAGGTCAAAGATATTTCTGAAGTTTTGGTGGAATTGCTTGACAGGTTCGAGTGGCTTCCATACAAGTCCAAAAGCTTATTTTAAATATTTGGAAAAGTAATAAAGTTAGATTCTTGAAACTTGGCAGTTATGTGTCCAATTATAGATCAGATATACCTGCGAAGTTTTAGTGGAATTGCTTGACAGGTTCGGGTACCTGCCATACAACTCCAAAAGCTAATTTTAAATATTTGGAAAAATAATAAAGTCAAATTTATGAAACTTGGCAGTTGTGTGTCCAATTATAGATCAGATATATTTGCGAAGTTTCAGTGGAGTTGCTTGGCAGGTTCGGGTACCTGCCATACAACTCCAAAAGCTAATTTTAAATATTTGGAAAAATAATAAAGTCAAATTTATGAAACTTGGCAGTTGTGTGTCCAATTATAGGTGAAAGATATTTCTGAAGTTTTGGTGGAATTGCTTGACAGGTTCGAGTGGCTTCCATACAAGTCCAAAAGCTTATTTTAAATATTTGGAAAAGTAATAAAGTTAGATTCTTGAAACTTGGCAGTTATGTGTCCAATTATAGATCAGATATACCTGCGAAGTTTTAGTGGAATTGCTTGACAGGTTCGGATACCTGCCATACAACTCCAAAAGCTAATTTTAAATATTTGGAAAAATAATAAAGACAGATTCATGAAACTTGGCAGTTGTGTGTCCAATTATAGGTCAAAGATATTTCTGAAGTTTTGGTGGAATTGCTCTACAGGTTCGAGTGGCTCCCATACAAGTCCAAAAGCTTATTTTAAATATTTGGAAAAGAAATAAAGTTAGATTCTTGAAACTTGGCAGTTGTGTGTCCAATTATAGGTCAAAGATATTTCTGAAGTTTTGGTTGAATTGCTCTACAGCTACGAGTAGCTCCCATACAAGTCCAAAAGTTTAAATATTTGGAAAAATAAAGTCAGATTCATGAAACTTGGCAGTTGTGTGTCCAGTTATAAATCAGACATATCCGTGAAATTTCTATAGAATGGTTTCACAGGTTTGAGTAATTGCTATACAACAATGAAAGGTGCAGGGTATAATTCAATCGGTTTATACCGACTGAAACGTTTTTACTTGTTTTTATTATGATTTAGTAAAAATCAAAATAAATTTTCTCTCTAATTGAAAAAAAAATCCATCTTTATTAATTTGATGCTTATGTCTAAATGAGTGTGTTTTCCCAGACAAAAACAAAAAATAGTAAAACAAAATATCAAAGGAAAATGTTTGAAAAGTAGTTTTTCAGTTTTTTCTCTTACACAGTATTTCAATGTCAATAAAGAAAAAAAATGTAAATGGCTATATTTTATAGAGAAAGAGATTTTAAATGAAAATTATGTTAATTTTATTGAAAATTAACGACCCATTTTTAAAAATATTGTAAATTTACTACTTATAAAATTACAATAAAATTTTTTGTAACTTTGTTGTATAAAAAATAGTTGAAGTAATTCGGTCACATATTGTACATACCTTTAAAAATGTAATTATTGTTAAATCTTCAGACCACCAACCTTAGTTTTTCTCATTACTTGAAATAAATAAGCAAATCTCGAAATATGTAGTACATTTTCAGCTTGATGCGGAAGTTAACAAAATATTTACATATATAAAATTTAGAAATTTTATAAAAATATTAAAATAGATAATTAAATATAAAAATGTGGGTAACTTCGGCCATTGAAATTAAAATAAAGATGGTTGGTCTATTTCGGTTTCGTTGATTTTAGGTTATGTGGTTTGAAAGATTGATTGATATTTTTTTTTCGCACTAATATTTTGATTGACGTCAAGATAAATTTTCGTTTTTGTTCATTATATTCGAATTCAAATGTTGAAATAAAAATTCCATCACACTATATTATGCTTTTTTATATAGTTTCATTTAATTTTGCAATATCTTAATTAAATTTTATCCCTAGAGGTTAATTCAAAATGAGTTTTAGTATATTAATTTAATATACTAAAGACAATACGTTAGCAAGTTTTATGTAAGAGGGGAATCTAGAGATGATAATTACAGAATTATGGCAAAAAAGTAAATTTTTGAAAATAATTAGATTTAATGTTCGAGTCGAATGAGATTTAGTAGCTAAAATTGATTTATTAAAAATTTAGAAAAAAAATAAATACGATGTCATAGTAAACTGTTCAGTATTACAATTACTTTCGAATAACATGAAGCATACTCGTATCGATAAATTTTATAAAAGACAAGACAAGAAGACATTTGACATAGGTTAAAAAAACATCTGACCTTGAGTAAATTTTTAAAATTTGATGACAAAGAACTCCGACTATTATGACATCTATCGATTAAACCAAAGTGTTATCAAAGTGATAATTTAATTTGTTTGTTATGTATAACATTTCTTTAAAAATTTCCTATTATTTTGATCAAAAAAATTCGATTATTTTATTTTTTATATGAAAAACTAATTTCGAATATTAACGTTATATTATGAAAAGTGTTAATTAATGGTTACGATTATTTGTGTGATAAATTTTTGTTTTTCTTCATGTAAGCAGTAATTATACACTAGATAATATTCGTAATGGAAAATTATTATTCGTATTTATATAAATAATGGAAAAATTAGTCGAATTTTTTATCACTTTAATTCAATATTTTATAATTAATCAAATCAACTTATTTTCGATATTAATACCGAATGTACAAAAATGTTAAGGATAAATTGAAGAGTAATAAGGATAAATTTCTTATTTTTAGAATAAATATAATATAATAGAAAAACAAAAAAAATAAAATAGAATAATAACAAAAATACATTGAAATTTTTAATGTCATGATAAAGGTACTGTCATAAATTAATCAAAAATAATTTGAGCCCACGGTTAAAAAAATAATTTCGAAATAATAGCAAAAATCACGTGCTACAATGAATGTATGCTTGCATAAAAATGTCACATGGACAAAAATCTATTTTTATTTTGTTTGTACATATTATGTATTAATTAAAACAAACATATGTTGAATAAAAGTATTGAATTAATTAATCTGCTAAAAATACGTGATTTATTGTGATGTGTGGTAAATTTTAATTTTAATATTAAAAGTCTGGTATATTCACATTTAAGGTCTCTAAAACTTTAAATTAAACAAACATAAACTTAGGGTATTTAAAAATTAATTAAAACGTTTTAGTTTTGCTTATATAAATGAGCTTGAAGCAAAATATTTTAATAAAACTAAATTAATTGTTAAACATTTCAAAAATTAGTTTATTATTTTTTTATTTTTTTTTTTGGTTTTTGAATATACTGAAGACACATATTTTCTTAATTAATTGTTAAATATAATACGAAAACTGTTAATAATCAGAAAAACAAAAAATTAACAAAACGGTATAAAATTAAAAGAAATTCCGAGGTTAAAACACACATATCTGTCATTTCTATTACAACAAAAATAATTAAAAATCGAAATATTAAAAAATCGATTATAATTAAAAATTTCATTTAATAATGCTATTTCTGTGGTTGTTTATTAATTATGTCAAAAACGAAATAAAAAGCTAAAATTAAAATTTTTTTTTTCCGGTTATTAAAAACAAATCAATGCCAAAATTTTGCGCAAAATATTTCAAAAAAATATTTGATCGTTGCTGTGAATTTAACACATGTGTTGATTTGATTAACACGCATTTGTATGTTGCAAATCGAAAACAGGAGTTTTTAAAAAATTTTTATACGTTTTTTTGGAAAACTTAATCAATGATGTTGCTGAACGCGAATAATTATAATACTGCAGACCTATAGTAAATGGAATTTCCAATATGACATGGATATTATTGTTGCTGGATGTTGAAAGATGTTGACTAAGATCGTGGAGCATTTTAAGTTATATCTATTATAATTGTTAAGTAGCAACCTTTTTTACTAATGCCAAAGGATATTTTTAATTAAGGAGATCATAGAAAATGAATTTTATCTAGTATTAAGTAATTTTATTGTACCATATTTTCCTAAATAATTCTTAAGCATTAAAGTTGAAAATATACGAGTATTATACATATGCACTTATAGTTTTAATAGCTGGAAGTATTTATAAGTAATCGTGATCATAATTAAGTATGTACAAATTTTTTTTTTGCACAGAACAACTGAAATTATTTATCTTATTTGTACATGATAATTAAGGTATAATAAGGTAGCAATATAATAAATATGATATCAGTATCACCACACTGAAATTGGCTACCTTATTGATACCCTGTTAACAATTAACATGCATATAAAATAATTACTGATTTCCAATTGATATTTTATGAATTATGCATCAAAGATTATATTTTACTTTAAATTTTTATAATAATTTATTGTGGCAATTAAAAAAAATTATTGTTTTTCTTTTTTAAAATAAATAATAATTCAAACATTTTTTTTTATATTTTACAAAATATGTAATTCTTAGTATCAAATAACAAATCCGCGCTTGCATTGTTCATTATACTTAAGTGCTATTTTATGTTAAGTTTTTGTATATTTTATCATTATATTATTCTTTTGTATAAGTTTATAAAATGCCGAATCATATATTATTTTAAATTGTAACATACAAAATTTAAAATTAAATCATATTACATTTTAATGTTTCAATAAAATATCAATAATGATTTTGTTCCGTCAATGATCATTATCTCTATACAATCTAAATGAAATATAATAAAATGCCATTGTAAATAACCATGTGTGTAGACAAGAAATATAATAAAATTTGTTATAAAATATATAAAAAAGAAACAAAATAATAAAGGCATATAATTCGTTTACCTTTTAACACAAAATTAATTTAAATTTTAAATTGTTTTTTGATAAATTAATAATAATTATTAATTTATCAAAATTAATAATTATTATTAATTTATTAATTAACTCTTTTTCTTTTATAATATAGATATAAAAAATATTATGTAACACATGATTCTGATGCAATTCGAGAATATATGGTTGGTTTACAACTTGAAGAAACTGATTTAGATTTTTGGTTAATATCAGAAAATTCAACAACAGTTTTAGTGCCAGCACAATTACAAGAAAATTTTGAAAAACGTTTAACAGAATTAAATTCTTTTTTCAATAAAACTTCAATATATGGAAATGAGTAAGTTAAATAAATTTAAAAATTTTAAAATTCAATTTGCTGTCAAAATTATTTCATATAATATAAATATTTCCCATATTTGTATTTTTATAGATATGATTCTGATATTGATTCTGAAGTACCTCTAATAAGAGGTAGTAGACAGGTTTCAGGTTCTTTTTTTCGGAGTTTTCATCGATATGACACGGTAAGTTGTGAAAAATGTAAAATGCAAATTAGTTTCAGTAAGTGTTCAGATTTTTGCCAAATTTTTAAATATTAACAGAGCTATGATAGTATTTAAAAAAAAATAAAAATTGACTGTAAAAAGATTTTTATTTTCAAATCCGAAGTTAATTATTTATTGTGAATATAAAATAATTACATATAAGTTTTTTTATCGTATTATAGTTAGTTTATTAAGAATTTACGATAAATTTTTTTTTCTTTATTTATTATTATTAAAGACACAAACCGCACAATTTTGTAGTCTTTTAGAAACTCATATTTCATAATAATTGTGCGGTAAAATATTGTACTATTTGTATTGTCCATGCTAAAAATATTTGAATTTTTCTGTTTTAAACTGGCAGCATTGAGTGATTATAAATAACATTTCTTTTTTTTTTGCATATATTTTGGCGCGAAGAAATAATGATTTTTCTGTTATAAGAAAATAATCGTGCAATTTTCCTTTGTAGATATTGCAATATATGATTGCATTAGCAAGGCGATATCCTTCAATTGCAAGATATGAAACATTTGGACGTTCAGCTGAAGGTCGTGCTATTGGAGCTTTGTCAATATCAATAACAAGAGGTAGACCAAGAAAATTGGCATATATTCAAGCTGGTGCACACGCTAGGTATAATAAAAATTTAATTTTATAAAATTGTTTGATATAAAATTAATATTATTGATCAATATAAATAATAGTTTTCTTAATATTTCTATTCATTTCTATTAACTTTTTTTATTTATTTTTAATTTAGAGAATGGATTACACCGACAACAGTTCTATATTTTGCTGCAGAACTTTTAGCAAATATACAATTTTATCGTAGAATATTAAATGATGTTGAAGTCTATATTGTACCTGTATTAAATCCTGATGGTTACGAATATTCACATACCAGAGTAAGATTAAAGTGTTATATTTTTTTATGATATGTATATTTTTAATTGTTTATTATAACAAATTACAGGATAGATTTTGGAGAAAGAATAGACATTTTTATTCTGGTTTATCATGTAGAGGTGTAGATTTAAATCGTAATTTTGGTGTTTACTGGAATTATGTTGGATCAAGTCAAAATGTATTAATAAACCTTTTGAAATTCAAATTTAGTTGAATTGATTTAAATAATTAATTTAATGTTTTAGCTATGTTCTGAAGTTTATTCAGGTAGATCACCATATTCTGAACCAGAAACACAAGCAGTAAGACGTTTCTTAGAAGCAAATCGTTTTAGAGCAAAATTAGTATTGGATATACATTCATATGGCAAATATATTTTCTATCCATGGGGATATACAAAGTATGTTTTCTATAATTGAAAAAATTTTTAATGTTTTTTAATTTTCTTAAGATGTGTTCTCAAAATTTCAATATTGATTTTGATAGTTAAAAACATATTTTTTTTTTGCCAATTTTAGATTCCCAGCTAGAAATCGTAACTTCTTACATTCAGTTGCTTTAAGAGCAGCAAATTCAATAGCAAAATATCGTGGTACAATTTATCGTATTGGAACATCAGCACAATTATTATATGAAGCTTCTGGTGGTTTAGATGATTGGGCATATGGCGTATTAGGAATCCCATTAACATATACATTAGAATTACCTGGAAGTGGTTTTGTTGTACCAAATAGTGAAATTATACCAATAGGAAAAGAAACTTATGCAGCATTTATAGAATTTCTTAGGCATGTCAGTGTAGTTTAGTACCAAAAAAAACAAAAATTAAAAATTAAAAAAATTGAACAAAAAAATTTAATTTTAAATATTTTAGCAAAACTATTTATGTAAATATTATTATTAAAAAATTTTTTTTAATACTATTAAAATATTTCATATATTTAAGAATGTAAGAAATTTCGAAAAAAAATATAAATTAAAATAGTAACTATTTAAGATTTCATGAAAATTTTCATAAATACAAAATTTCTATTATTTTTATCAACATTGAAAACTAATATTGTGGAACATTAGATTTTTAAATAATTTTATATACATTTCTTTATTTAATACACATATTATTTAAAATATATATAATAATTCTCTAAATACCTCAATATTTATGAATTCAATTCAAAAAATTTTAACATACTCGTATATAGTGACTCTCTATAATATTGTATGTAATTTATGTACAAAAATTTTCAAATAATTTTAGTTAAAATAGATTTTAAGTGATTTAATTTAATTTTTGTATAATTGCGATACGAATTTAAAATTAAATTGTGTGTATAAATGTAAACTATAAGTTAGAGATCTTTATGAAATTTCTTACATTTTAAAACAAAACAAATCCTATATATAATATTTTGTATATAAATCTGTGAAAATTTTTCAAAATTTGATAACCTAATTTTTAAAAAAATTAAGCTAATTATGTAGAATTTAAATAAAAGATGTCCAATCTTTATTATTAGCTAAAATTGGGTAAAGTTAAGTTCTGTAATTTCTACTTACAAAGCATATTGAAATAACTGCTATAAATATATGTAGATATTTCTCTTACAAACAAAAATTCTAATCTTGAGGATATCAGGTTTTTGACAAATTTTCACAGAAATTTTCTTTAATTTAATGAACCAAAAAATCATTATAATTTTTTATTTTGTTCCTATAAATAATTATTATTTTTTAACTTAAATTATATAATATCATCAAAATACCTAAAACATAATCAATAATTCGTTTCTTTTATCATTTTTTTAAATTAATTTTTAAGTTAATTTATAAAATTAAAAACACGTTTACTTACTTATAATGAAAATAACATAATGCAATATGTTAGATTGTAAAGTGGCCTTCTAAATTACAAAACTTTATATAGCAACTTTATGGAGATTCCACTTTCAAGAGTGAATGTTTCATAAAATGATATAAAAATCATAAGTACGAAATAACAACTTTATATCTAAAAGATTTAAAGTCAGTTTTCGTGGTTGAATATTATATTCTGCCCTGTTTAATTTAGTGATTTCCTACTTTAAATTTTGTGAACATACTACTGAAGTTCATAAGTAATAAGAAATTTAAAATTTCACACTTTTCTTCTTTCCAAGATATAAAAATTTTTTTAAAATTTTCTCAAAAATCCCAAGATACGGATTCGTATTTCATGTTTAATAGGCTAGCAAGTTCTTAATTTATGATATAAGTTACGTTCTAAGATTATGACAATTTTAACATATGAATATAATTGAAAGCGTAAAAAAATCATTTAATTGTTACCGGCATAATGTGAAGTTTAATTATTTTTTAAATTTTTGTTTGAGGACTAGGTGTGCTGAGGACTAGGTGAATTTCAATTATACTCATAGTTGTATATAAAAATAAATATGATTGTAGTTTGTAATTAAATACAGAATTATTAGCAAAAAATAGATCAAATTTATGTGGAATAAGTTTAAGCTTGTTATTAGGAATCTAAAAAAATCTGAATGAAATTCTGCTGAAAATGAAAGAAAAAGTGAAAAAATCGTGATCGGTGAATTAACATTAAAGTTTAAATTTCATAATTATTTACGAATAATGTTTTTTTGCTTTTAACTCAAATTTTGAAACAAATTATAACTATAATTGTTAAATTTTTGAAAAATTACAAGCAAATTGCCAGCTAAATAAGCCTTAATTAAAAAATTTAATTTGTTAAAATACAGGAATAATTTAGGGAGGCTGCGTACATATAAAGCAGTGGATTCTGATTTGAGTGAAATCTATTTAAAAATTATCATTTTATTGTATTATACGGAAAAGTCTAAGGTAGAATTAATGCTTTATTGAAATACAATAGTGAAATGCAGTGTGGCTTTAAATTGTATAATATATTAAATTTAATACTTTACATCCATTTCCTTAGTAATATTAGGAAATTAGATTGTAAATTTGTACATTATGCATTAATATGAGTATTTCATCAGATTATTGATAAACTATCGTTAAATTTAAGTTCTTGAGCTCTAAACCATATTTTCGAATATTAATTTTGATTTACATAATATTATTAATTGTATAATAACTTCCATATTTAATATTCTATAATATGTTTAATTACTATCACTATTCTGTATATAAACTTTATGATGATAACTCTGATTTTAACCATTTATCATCTATATAATCGTTTCCAAAAACAGTATACGATTTCTTTCAAAAATCTTTTTAATCAATTTAACTATAAGCTTTTATATGCTGTATATATAATCATTACCATATCGTAGCTCATCATCCTCTGTATTACTAAGGTTGTTGAGAAAATCATCATTGTATTTTTGAAATACTATAGAGATTATGGTAAAACTGTCCTCTTTTTTTTTTTCCTTACAGTTATCTAGATGATGAGCAAATAGAATATGCGCAAAATTCTTTAATCTCAGATGATCAAAGTTTTGATTTTGGATTTAATGATGACATTTTTCGGAGTAATTTAAAATCAAATTAAATAAAATGTCATTGGAAATGCGTATATGAATGCGTATATATGTGTAATAAGTTTATATTATGGAAGTTCCAAAGAAATTTTATACTCGCATATTAATTTAGGATATCGATGTGGGTTTCGTTTTTAATTGTGTTTCTACGAGTATATACATGAAATAAAATTTAAAATTTTATGGATTTAAAGAGACCCCGTCATTTATAGTGTTATATGATTGTAAATATTAAAAATTAAGGTGTTGGATTATTTATTATTGTAATAAAAGTTTTTAATTTAAAAATTATTATTTCATAAAATATAGTTTCTTTCTTATATCTAACGAAATTGGACACATTATAATCTGTAAATGAGAACTAAATTTTCCAATTACTTATGAACTTAATGTAATTTTTTTATTTTTATGTGGTAACTTAGTACAGTAAAGTGATTAATGTTTTGATAGTAGAAGGACAAGACTAAAGAATTCAAATTTTAATTAATTTTCATAAAACTCAACAATACCTAGCAAATTGAGCTCGAAGTTAAGATTTAATTTTTAAAAAACCAACATTTAAAATGTTTTTTATGTTCTTATTCAAAATTTTAGAATCAGTTATAAGAAAAATGTAGTGAATTTTGACAAAATTCATGACTTACATTATACATTTTCTAAGTTTGTAATAAATTTGAAAACGATTTCAAATGTGAATTAGACAGTTTTTGCTTATGACCACAGAAATTTTATTCTGAGAATACGCAATTAAATTTTCGTAGTTAAATGACTTAAAAATATGAAACCAAATATTCAGGTTACCTAGAATTTTCTCTGTTGGAGCCCAGGAGATAAATATATAAAAAATTCCTGTTTTAAGGCAATATGACTTGAAGGTTTCACAGTGCTATTTCGTTATTGCGAATATTCTGAGATTTTTAAGGCATTCTCGCTACAATATAATTTCGGAAATTTATTTCGAATAAATATATGTTTATTTTTTTAATTACATTAATTTATTCTAATTTTCAATTAAATTAAATTAAATTTAATGTTTTTTATTTCAATATTTTGTGCTCTTTTATTAGAATTATAAAATTGTTAAATTTACTAATTTATTATATTATTATAGTTCCTAAATTTAATTTTAATTCAATAATAAAATTTTTTACTTTTTTAAGAGATCCCATACAATACATTTACAATAAACCTCAAGAACCTATATTTTCACTCTATAAACCTTTTAATGAGCTTAAATAAGAGATGCAAAAAAAAGTATTAAATTTTTAAGATAATCTTTAATATAATACAACGTATAATACATTCACCTGTTTAAAACCCATTCAAATCACAAGATATAGGACGAATAAACGATATTCGTGTTCCAAGGATATTTGTACTTTCTTTTATAAATATTTATCACTTCTTCTTTTATCCTATTTTGCCTTCATATTTTGTTTTGTAAAAATTTTTGTATATTTATGAAGGAAAATTATCTTATGAAGGAAGGTAATATTTTTTCATAAAAAGTTTGGACAATCACGCTACATTCATCCAAATAAAATGTAAGTATAATCGAGAGAAAGGATAATAATTGTTATATGCTAAAATACTTAATATTCTTATTCTTTTTAAAAAGAATTCCCATTAACTTTTCTTATATGTCTTTTTTGTTGGAAGGGGTATAGTAAAGTCAAAAAATTGTTACATATTTAGTGACCTAATTCTTTATATGTATATATGAAATTGCGTGATAAGTATCAACAATTATCTTGTTCAATTTATCTTCTGTGCATAAGGAAAAATTGAGAATTTTAGTTTTATTTTGTAATAAAGATTGGGAACGAAGTTTGTGGTGGACTTATATGGAAAAATTAGTGTGTGACTTTGTAAATTTTTTTAGATAATTGCAGGCATTAATTCGATACTATGAAAGATTCTTTCTTTAAATATTTTTTTATTGATAAATGAAATTTTTTTTATAAAAAATAGGAATTTATCGTTTATTTCAATTATTTATTAAAGAATAAAATAATATTAAGGGCAAAAATTTTGTACTAAAAGGAAAACGTTTAACACGTCTTGTAATAAAAAGTGCCTTTCATTAATCTCAATTTGAAAATTAGCAACAATGAAAGTAGTAAAATATGTTAATTTAAAACTAACTTAATTAAATATGTAAAAAAGTCGCTTTTATAATTGAAATATTTAAAAAGAATTGGCATAACAGAATAAAATTACAGAGAAGCAGCTTAGGTTCTCAAATGTAGGCATGAAGATTTTAACTTTTGTTTTGTCTAACTTTGGTAGCTTACACAATGCATACGATAAATAAACGATTAAAATATAGACATGTCGAAGTTTTTGATTCTGATTCTTTTAAATTCATAAATTATGTAGTGAGGTTTCAATCAGGATCAAGATGCACTGGTACACAAAATATCGGAGGCTGCTTATTATGTTCGTTCCCAAAATAATGTATTAAAAACATACAATGTGTACCGGAACCAAACAATAAATATTATCTGAAAGCCAAACAATTACTTGAGAGCTGTATCAAAGGTAGTCATTTATATAATTATATTTGGCGAATGGGCATTTTATGATTTAAATAATTCTAATTCAGTCCCAAAATATTTTAAGTTTAAATGAATAGACACGATTTAAAAACAAAATAAAATTTTCTTGTTTGGTTAAATTTTTTATATCTTTTTTAATTTTTTAAATGGTCTCTAAGTAGGATTCGAAATTTTTGAAAAATTTCGTTAAAATTCGTGTCACATGACATTAGTTACTAAATTTTGATTTAGCAATTATTCTGTGATCACAAATCAAGATCCTGTAAGACCGTAATAATAGTATCAGGAAAAATGACTAAAGTCAAACGTTTTCAATCGGATTTTTTGAGATGTTATGATTTGAAACCACTGAACTAATCGACTTCTATTTAAATAAACTTCATATATGTAATTCGGGGTTGTTTTTTTTAAATGTTGTAAATCCAAAATGTAAATTTAAATGATTTTATTGAAAATAAGAATAGTAGCGTAATAATTTCAACATGCCCTTTAACACGCATAATTTATTTATACTAAGATATTACATATTTCTTATCAAAATAAATATGACACGCCTATTTCGGGGGCGTTAAAAACAAAATAAAAATTTTAGTTTATAATACCTTCATATTTTCTGATACTAGGGTCTAGAAATTATTTTTAGTATTTTATTGATAATCTTATAGTTTGGTGGTTTTAAAATTAAAATTTTTTTTTTATACTCATAATTTTGTTTTCTTAGAATATACTATATTTAATTTTATAGTTTTAGAATTACGTGTCCTTTTATATGGGTTTAAAATGTGATATACATAATAAAAATTTAAAACTATACAAAAATATATATGTGTATTACTCGTATAATTTGTTTTTGTAAATTATATAAAATGTTAGAATACACTCATATAAAAAAGTTTTAGTGCGCAAGTTATAAAATTTCAGTGAGCACGTGTTATAACACTATCAATAAAATGTTATAATATTCATATATATATATATATATATATATATTAATAATTTTAATTTATAAACATTTTAAATAGATTTAAAGCGCAAGTTTTTTAAAACAAAAAAAAAAGGGTATTCAATATTTTCTGTAAAAATATTATCACGTGGTTTTCTTTACATATTTCGTTATATACGCATATATGTGTGAATGTAAATTTTGTGGAATCTGTTGCTAAAATAATATTTTGCCTGAGGAAAAATTAATTTGTTATAGTTTGTGTAGTTCAAAATTTAAGGTAAACTTTTAATATCTTACGAGTATATTTTTAATTTACCCTATATGACCAAAATTACAAAAGATTTCTAAATTTTAGAATTTTACTTGCAATTTCTATTTCTATTCCAAGAAAATTTGATTTTAATTGAACATGCTCGTATAAATTAACAAGGACTTTAATTTTGAGCAATATGAACTTACATAAAAATAATTATTTAAATTTTTTAATATCTATAAATTATTTTTTGAAATAAAAATCGAATAATCGTTCTTAAGACGCAAAATTACCATTACGATATAATCATTAATCACGTAAACAAGAACTAATATAACGTAAAAAATTAAATATTTTTAGTAAACATATATTATAAATGGCAAGTATGTGGTAGATTTTTATGGATTTCGTGTATCTTTATAAAATTTAGAATAAAAAATTTTTATATAAACGTGCTAGCTATATAGAATAAGAGGAAATTTTATTATTAAACAATAAATTACAGTGCATAAATTAAGAAACACAATTGTTTTAGGCTTTCTTTAACAAAGGTATGATATCAACAGTTAAAAACATTTTTAGTTTTAATGAGTAAGCTCCTTCACGAGACAGTTAAATTTTAGTAAATAATAAGCCACGAGGTTATAGTTCTAAAATAACGTTATGTCGAAGTACCATAAATGTTAAAACAAATGTAATATTATTGAAAAAAATACGCCACTCAGTTTATCGAATTAAAATTTAATTCAGTCCCATTAAAGGAGTTACTTTTTCAGTTTAAGAAGAATTGACAAAACTTTAAAAAATGAAGAAACATATTGGTTTTTCAGGAGCTAAATATTATTTAGTTTTATGATTTAGGACAAGTCTTTCCTTAAAATCGGAGATAATGTTTAGCAACAGATATTTCGTATATTGCTTTATATTATGCAACTTATCACAAAAAATTTTGTTGAAAGAACAATATTATTTGAGCGTCCTAAACATATGCAATTTATTTTTTTTGATATACGAGTATTACATATTATGTACAATTCTCAAAATATAATTTATTTTGAATATTTGACAGTTTAAGCTGGATTCATTAAACTAAACTATTATACATATAATTATTGTCAAAAAAGTAATATATGCATCATAACAAAAAAAGAACGATCGGCTTTTTTCAGACGAACCAATGAACAATCAGGAGAAAAAATAGTTCGACTTTAAATAGCTCAACTCAAAAATGATGAACCAGTGAATCCAGCTTTAAGGAAAAAGATTAGAATTCTTTAGTCAAAATAGAAGTTATTTAAACTTTTTGTATACTCTTCGTCAAATTTAATATATGTATATTCAGCGTACTAGGTGCCCTTGTAGAAGTGGATACAAACCATTTAATCAAGAGATAAGTCCTATGTATATAATAAATTATTTTGTGAACTCAA